ATTGCTGCCATGTATGCATTGACTGTTAGTGCCGAGGGAGACTGTTACTTGTGTGTGCCGCCTGACCCAGGTATAGAGCCCGCTGCCCTAGGTACTAGTGAGTCTGCTCTCTCTGGTCTGGTGCCCTCTGTGGCTGCTCCCTCCGGTACTGTCCCTACTGCTTGTGAGTCTGCTCTCTCAGGTACAGCACCCACAGAGACTGCTCTCTCAGGTACTGCACCGGCTGAGGCCTGTCACACCTTCACCCTTGACTCAGGTGCTTCCCGCTGTTTCTTTCGTGACCGTACTGAGCTCACACCGCTTCCTGCACCAGTCCCAGTCTCCTTGGCTGACCCCTCTGGGGGCCCAGTCCTTGCACGGTCCACCACTGTGCTCCCGTGTCCAGCGGTTCCGTCCGGCTCGTTGTCGGGTTTCCACCTCCCCTCGTTCTCGACGAACCTGGTGAGCAACGCTGTCATCCAGGATCAGTGGGTTGACACCTTTACCCCTGGAGGACAGCGTGTGGCGATCCTCACGTGCTCCAGGACCGGCCGTCACCTGGCTACGTTTACTCGTCGGCCGGGGTCGAGTCTCTACACACTGACCACTGCGTCTCCTCAGGTCGCTGCTGTCGGTCAGGTGTCTGCGTCAGGTCTGGTAGCCCACGCCTGTGAGTGTCGTTCCCTGTCGCACCAGACTCTTCTCTGGCACCACCGCCTGGGTCACCCCTCCTTGCCACGCCTTCGTGGCATGCACCGTCGCCACCTTGTGTCTGGTCTTCCCAGGTCCCTCCCTCCCCTCCCTGCCTCGCCTGCGCCGCCTTGCCTTCCTTGCGTCGAGGGGCGGCAGCGCGCCACTCCTCACTCCTCCTCGTTCCCCCCGACAGAGGCTCCTCTGCAGACCCTCCACCTGGACGTGTGGGGCCCAGCCCGCGTTCGTGGTCAGGGCGGTGAGCGGTACTTTTTGCTGGTTGTCGACGACTACTCGCGTTACACCACGGTCTTCCCCTTGCGCACCAAGGGTGAGGTCCCTGCTGTTCTGATCCCTTGGATCCGCACAGTTCGTCTCCAGCTCCGCCGCCGTTTCCGGACGGATCTTCCTGTCCTGCGTCTGCACTCTGACAGAGGTGGTGAGTTTTCCTCCGACCTCTTGAGGACCTTCTGTCAGGCGGAGGGCATCGAGCAGACCTTCACGCTTCCGGACTCCCCACAGCAAAATGGGGTTGCTGAGCGCCGCATTGGCCTGGTCATGGAGGTCGCTCGTACCTCCTTGGTCCACGCGGCGGCTCCCCATTTTCTGTGGCCGTTTGCTGTCCGGTACGCCGCGCATCAGCTAAACCTCTGGCCCCGTGTCTCCTTGCCGGAGACCTCGCCCACACTGCATTGGACGGGGGAGGTTGGCGATGCGTCGCGCTTCCGGGTGTGGGGTGCTCGTGCCCTTGTCCGCGATACGTCTGCGGACAAGCTCTCCTCCCGCACGCTTCCCTGTGTCTTCCTTGGCTTTGTCCCTGACGCGCCTGGCTGGCAGTTTTACCATCCCACCTCGCGCCGGGTCTTCGCCTCTCAGGATGTCACCTTTGACGAGTCGGTCCCTTTTTACCGTCTCTTCCCCTACCGCACTGCCCCCCTCCCTCCCCCGCCGCTTTTCCTTGCTCCTGGTCCCCCTCCGGTAGACCCCCTCCCCCCTCAGGGTCCTGCTCCTTCAGGTGTCTCTCAGGTAGACCCTCCTCCCGTCGCTGAGCCTGTCGAGGTCACAGGTGACTCAGGTGCTGCTGCTGGGAGTGCTGAGCCTGGGGGTGCTGAGCCTGCGGGTGCTGGGCCTGGGAGTGCTGGGACTGCGGGTGCTGGAGCTGAGGGTACTGTGCCTGAGAGTTCGGCGCCTGGGGGTGCTGAGCCTGGGGGTGCTGCGACTGGGGGTGCTGAGCCTGCGTGTGCGGAGTCTGGGGGTGCTGAGCCTGGGGGTGCCGCGCCTGCGGGTACTGAGCCTGGGGGTGCTGCTACTGAGCCTACGGAGCCTCGGGTTGCTGCGTCTGGGGGTGCTCCGGTTCGGGGTGCTGAGCAGTCTCTCACACCGCAGCAGCTTCGTGACTGGTACGTCCGGCGCTTTCGCCGTCCTAGTGGCTCGGCTGGAGTTTGGGGTGCTGGAGCTGCTCGTCCTGGGGGTGCTCGTACTGGGGGTACTGGAGCTGCCGGGACTGGTTGTTCTGGGAGCACTACGACTGGAGCTGCTGGAGCTGGGGACTCTGGAGCTGGCGGTGCTAGCGGAGTTGGAGCTGCCGGTTCTGTGGGTGCTCTTCCTAGCGGTACTGGAGCTGCTGGAGCTGACGACACTGGAGCTGACGGTTCTGGACACGGTGGTCCTGCTGGTTCTGGAGGTGCTGGCGAGGGGAGGTCTGGCGCTGCCGGGGCCTCTGGTGCTGACGTCGCCGACTCGGGGGGTGCTGCGGCGGAGGGTGCTGGTCCTGGTGCTTCTGGTGCTGCGGGTGCTGGAGGTGCTGGCGGAGCTCCGCCGTCGCGCCTGTTCTTCGCTCCTCCGTCGCCGTCGGCTTTGCCGCCGCCTGACACGGTTCTTCGCCAGGTTCTTTCCCTCCCGTCTTCCACTGGCCTTCCCCTCCATCCTGTCTCCCCCCTCCCTGCTCCTGTGCCTTACACTGCACAGCCGGACTCGCTTACGGAGCGTCGTGAGCCTGCGTCTCGTCCTGCCTCGCCTGTTCGCGCTGTTCGCACTGCTCGCACTGCGCGCACTGGTCCCACTGGCCGTCGTGTCGCGCGTCCGCGTCCTCCTCCTGTTCCTGGCACGCATATTATGGCCCTTCGTCCTTCCACTGGTCCACAGCGTGTCCCCCTACCGTCTCCTCCTGCGTCTTCTCTTCCTGACGTTCCCGACCCTGAGTCTGACAGTGTTCGTGCTGCCCACCCTACTGTTACGCGTCTTCTCGCCACTGTTGTCACTGACCCGTCGTTTGAGTCTTCTGCTGCGTCTGCCCTGGTCACTGAGCTTGTCGACTTTGCTGCTGCCTGTCGTCTAGACTACGCCGCCAGTCTTGTTGCTGGGTCTGAGTCTGTCTGTCCTCCGTCCGTCGGGGGTGAGTGTGCTCTTGGCACGGACGTCCTTGAGGACAGGCAGGAGGACTTTGACTCTCTTGCGGCTGCTGTACCTCATCTCGTGGCCTGGTTGCTTGCCCCTGAGGGAGACCCGGATGCAGTAGACATCCCCACTCCGCGCACTTACGCAGAGGCGATCTCGGGTCCCTACTCCTCTCAGTGGCAGACAGCCATGGACGCAGAGATGGCATCCTGGAAGTCCACAGGCACCTACGTTGACGAGGTTCCCCCTCCTGGGGCGAACATCGTCGATGGCATGTGGATTTTCAGGGTGAAGCGGCCGCCAGGTTCTCCACCTGTCTTCAAGGCTCGTTACGTTGCTAGAGGCTTCAGTCAGCGTCAGGGAGTTGACTTCTTCCAGACCTTCTCCCCCACCCCGAAGATGACCACTCTTCGGGTTCTGCTGCACGTTGCTGCTCAGCGTGACTACGAGCTTCACTCTCTTGACTTCAGCACAGCGTTCCTGCAGGGCAGCCTGCACGAGGAGATATGGCTGCGCCGCCCACCTGGCTTTACTGGGTCGTTTCCTCCTGGTACCCAGTGGAGCCTCCGCCGGCCAGTCTACGGTCTCCGCCAGGCGCCACGTGAGTGGCACGACACACTGAGGACTACACTTGCGGCTCTTGGGTTCGCGCCGTCTACTGCTGACCCGTCGCTGTTTCTGCGCACAGACACGTCGCTGCCGCCGTTCTACATTCTCGTGTACGTCGACGACTTGGTCTTTGCTACTGCTGACACTGAGGCACTCGCTCGTGTGAAGTCGGAGCTGCAGAAGAGGCACACCTGCACTGACCTGGGTGAGCTGCGTAGCTACCTTGGCTTGCAGATCACCCGGGACAGAGCACGCCGCACCATTACCCTGACTCAGTCACACATGGTGCAGCAGGTCTTTCAGCGCTTCGGCTTCCAGTTCTCCTCACCACAGGCCACACCTCTGGCTACCAGCCACTCGCTCTCAGCTCCACCTTCGGACGAGTCCGTAGAGCCGAATGGAACCCAGAGCTAGTAGGCTGCCTCATGTACCTGATGACTTGCACGCGACCTGACCTCGCGTACCCTCTTAGCATCCTTGCTCGTTACGTTGCGCCTGGGAGACACAGGCGAGAGCACTAGGAGGCTGCTAAGAGGGTGCTGCGTTACTTGTGCAGCACATCAGGCATGGGGCTGGTGCTTGGAGGACGCGACAGAGTTGTCCTCACTGGTCACTCGGACGCTTCTTGGGTGGACGACCTGGCTACGCAGCGGTCGTCACAGGGTTACACCTTCAGCCTTGGCTCTGGTTCTGTCTCGTGGCGGTCCACCCGCTCTTCTTCTGTTCTCGGCTCTAGTTGTGAGGCTGAGATCTACGCCACGGCCATGGCTGCACAGGAGTTACGCTGGCTCACCTACCTGCTGATTGACTTGGGAGAGCGGCCTAGTTCTCCTCCAGTTCTGTACGGTGACAACAAGGCGGCCCTTGCCTTGTGTCAGGAGCACAGACTGGAGCACAGGACGAAGCACATTGCTTTTCACTACTTTCTTGCTCGAGAGCTTCAGCAGCGTGGTCAGCTTCGTTTTCTTATTTGCTTACTGCTTGACTTTCTTTGTACTGTACTTTATATATTTCTTTCTGTTTGTCCTACTCTATATCTAGTACTGCATGTGAACTGGCCTTGTGGCCTTTGCTTGTGCTCGGAGTGTGTGGCGTTATAATCCACCCTGGGCTTGTTTTTGCTTTGCTGGACTGGTCTTGTGACCCTTTGCTCTCCCCACTTTGCCTATGGGGGTGTGTTAAGTTGTAATGTGTTATTTATATGTGGGTAGGCTGTAGTGGGGTAGCCAATACAGGGTACAAACCCAACTAGGGTTAGCTACTTGTACCCAACTGTTTCTTTCAATGCACCATTCTTGCCTAGTCCTGTTGATACTCCACTGTGTCTAAGAGCCTGCACCACTCTCCTTGTGTTCCTCCTCCACCTTGGTAGTAGTGCCTGTAGGGGCAGACGTGTCTGCAGATGGAGTTGTGCCTTTCTCATATGGCTGCACCAGTGACTGCAAACTTGACCCAAGTGCCTGCAGGAATGAACCAAAGTTGGTTCAGCAACAGCAAATAAAATGAATCACCAAGTCAAGTAGACTGCAGATAACAGCCTTCCTCAACTATCTTGAAACGCACCTTAGCAGCGTCGGTTACAGCATCGCCAGCAGCAACAAGCACCTCAGCAGCACCAACAACCACAGTCTGAGTAACACCCTGAGTGGTCTTCACAGCTTCGTGCACATCTGCTGCTGCTGCCTTCACGCCCTCACCACCAGTCCCCTCTGCTCCCTTCACTTCAACATCACCACCAGTCTTCTTTTCTCCTCCCACAAATGAAAGATTTTCCATCGCATGCTGGATGTCAGAGTAAATTTTGCTGGCTGCCCCCTCCACCACATGTTCAGCTTCCGAACCCTTTTCCTTCAAAACCTCTGCCAGCTGACCCAACCTCTTAGCAGATGCTTCTAGGACAGCAGCAGCCTCTTCCTTCCCCTTCACATCCACTCCTTTACCTATGGCCGTCTCTCCCTCCTGAACCTCCTCCTGCCCCTTACCAAAGCTAGACTTGAGCATCTCTGCAGTCTCTCCCAGGCTCTCCTTCGCCCTTTCCGTCAGCTCCTCAGTCTTCTTAGTCACCGTCTCTGTCCCTGACGCGAGACCTTCCTTGGCCTTCTCCGTCAACTGACGTCCCTTCCCCGCAGTCGCCTCACCTGCCTTCTTGGTGGTCTCTGTCACCTGGCTACCCGCCTGTTGCGCCTCCTTTTTAGCCTCCTCACGCTTGGATGAAGCGGCTGCCTGATGCTCGCCAGCTCGCTTCGCTGAAGCTACTGCCTGATGCTCTTTACCCTGCTTAGCCCTCTCTTCCTCTTCGCTCTTTCTCTCGCTTGTTTCAGCCATGCTCTTACGCTCAGTCGGCCTTTCCTCTGTGGAGCCCTTTTCCATGGTTCCCTTCACACGCTCAGCCCATGACACGCCCTCCTGCGGCTTCTGCTCGGCCTCAGCCTGTGCCTGCCCGCCACGTGGCACCTGCGGAGCACAAAATTCGGTACTCAGTAAAAGAACCGACGAGAAAGCGTAAATTGGATACAGAAGACATGCCAATCCGGCGGTGACCCTACCTGCGGAACTTGCTGGCTCGCCATGTTGCCTCTTGCTTGACTGATTCGAACGCGCGATGTAGTACGGTGCGTAAAAAACGATTCCTCAATCCACAGAACTCAGATATGAGCGCGCGCAGACAGTGGTTTTCACGGAGGAGCTGAATAGCAAACCGAATAGAACTCGCAACACGGAAACTCGGGAGCACACAGCTATTAAGGACGTACAACGACGTTGCGTGCGCAGCAAGCCCGACCTGGATCGGCCAAATGATTCCCAGGGCAACCATCTTATCGCTGCGATTCGGTTGCCTTGCGAATATACAGCTAGCTCCACATCCGTCCCGGGACACGTGGCATCAATTGGACTGTGAAAGGCTCAAGCATAGAGGCCGATCCAAGGGCTGCTTTTTCCTGTCCAACTGCACAGTCACACATGCAAGCAACATCTTCACTCGGTCGACAAGCCGACATGCAGCTGCCTTTGGTCTGAGTGGATTCGGCTCAGCCTAATGACTGAGGATCCTTGCCGTTGCTAGAGGCCTTGCCTAGCTTGGATGACCGACGCCAAGAACTGAAATCTCAAAACAGCCATGAATTTGCCGCGTGGATTGCTCATATTGAATCTGCTGCGACTGAGTGGGACATCGACATTAGCAGCTTCGATAAACTTACTAGCCTCATCAATGTGTGCCCGAGATTGGCGATGCTACACCTTCTCTGTTGCGGTTTCAGGAGGAGGTCATCAGTGTTTGTTGTGGTTTCAGGAGACCCATCAAAACACGTGCATTTCGCATTCAACCTGACCGTCGGAATCTCTGCTGCGTTACATCTGCCCTGAAACCAAGCCGCTCAGCCCAGCACGCTCTCCCCCCAACCACCACCATTGTACGTGTATGTGTTGCATCCCATCGCGCCGCACACCCGCCAGCTACTTGGCTACCAGCCCCAGTCGCCCAGTTGGTGCACACTCGTCATGGCTCGGAGCAGCCAGCTCGGATCGAACCGAAATGTCACAGCTTGTATACCCAATCAGCGTCGTCCCGGTCACGGCTCGTGCCACATCACCAAACTCACCTCCGAAAAGCCCCAGCAACTACCTTTCCGGAGCTATCCGCCAAGGCTAACACGAGGGACCCAACCACCTTTACTAGAATTAACCGAACTGAACCACTAAATAACGATTAAAAGAAGCCCAAAAGCCACTACATTTGCAGTATTCCGAACAGCCCACCAAACCAGGAAATCAGGCTCTTCCCATGCCTCGGCGGTAGTCCGTGATTTCGACCAATCAAAGAGGCGCAGGACGGTGGTAAAGTTCAGTTTGTAATAAATTAGTTCCCCCATACTCACATCTCATTTCTCAAGATCAGGAGCACCTAGATCAGACATCAGAGCAGATTTCAGACATTCACAGCACGTGTGAACGAGTTAGCGCCACCAGCAAGTGTCCCCTCTTCTAGGAGCCATTGGTTCCAGTGAACTCGGCGTCTATAGTTTCAGCCCACATCTGTGAACTTCCTAACGCATTGGCGCGCCTGAGGGCTGCTTCGCTTGATCCCCACTTTTTCACCGAAAGGCGGCAGTCAGATCCGCCATGGCTCCGTGGTATAAGGAAAACACGACCATCAATTGCTTCGGGGTTACTCTCAACCTCGGTGATCTCACCGCGCTGCCATTGGTCGTCGGATACGCGCTCTGCTCAAGTCTCCTCGCAATCATCAACAAATACGCCATCGATGTCTTTCCATTCCCGAGCCTCCTAACGGCTCTCCAATACCTCACATGCGTCGTCGCGGTCTTCGGTTTGGGTCAAATGAAGGCTCTGGAGCACGACCAGATCCAATGGAGCATGGTCAAGAAATTCCTTCCCGCGGCTTTCGTCTTCTACATGGCAATCTTCACCAACACTACGCTCCTTAAATACGCCAACGTGGACACATTCATCGTGTTCCGGTCGTCTACACCGCTTCTCGTCGCCGTCGCCGATTATCTCTTCAGGAAGCAGCCATGGCCGGGGCCATACACCTTCGGAGCTCTTTTCGTGATTCTCGCCGGCGCAGTTGGTTACGTGGTTACAGACAGCCAGTTCACCGTTCGCGCGTACACCTGGGCTTTCGCTTACCTCTTCACAATTACGCTCGAGATGGTGTACATCAAGCACATCGTGAGCAGCCTCGGTCTGAACACCTGGGGTTTCGTCCTGTACAACAATTTCCTCTCCCTTCTCATGGCTCCTCTCTTCTGGATGATCACCGGCGAGTTTCAAGAGACGATGATCGCTACCACCGCCATGGCCGATTGGAAATTCGGTGTGGTATTCCCCGTGCTGCTGTCCTGCGCGTTTGGACTCGCTATTAGCTTCTTCGGATTCGCCTGCAGAAAGGCGATCTCAGCAACTGCTTTCACTGTGCTCGGCGTGACCAACAAGCTTCTGACCGTTGTCATCAACGTGATGATCTGGGACAAGCACGCATCCTCGTTTGGAGTCCTCTGCCTTCTCGTTACAATCATCGGAGGAGTGATGTACCAGCAGTCGACCGTGAAGCAGAACTTCCGGGCCGCTCCGGCTTCTACGGACGAGGAGGAGGCGAAACCCTTGACTCCCGCGAATGAAGTGGACGACGGCCAAGATGCTGGTGAGTCCCATTGATCGCACAGTCCCGTGTTTTCTTTAGTCACAAACGCAGAAACGCAAGTTGAAAACTGAAAAAAAGTTCAAATTATGGTTACATTGAAGCCACTGTGCGAAAGGGGGAGGTATTCAAATTCGTCGGGCTGCTTCGCATGAAAGCAGTTACTCCTGGTTTCGTATAATAGGCGTCGCTAACAGATTTAGGTTATGGACATTCAGGTAGCCTTTCGAACAGCGTAGGTACCTTTGTTCTCGAGTTACTCATGAATGCCCCTATGAGCAATGGGGATCCTGTTGTACTGGCCTTAAGGTTTCAATGATTCGTTTCTAGGTTCTTGAAGCGTGGCCGTGCGTTGACTTAGTCATGTTGACAAAGTTAAGAGCTGTTTTTCATGCCATTGAGTCGATTACAGCATCGCCACGTCAATCCGGCTCATGTATAAACCCTCACTGAACCCTGACCCCCCTACTCCTTCCAGCTATGTGTCCATTCTCTCCACTCCTCTTCTCCTCCGTGATCTTCTCTTGTGCCCTTGTCCTATTGAAAGCGCTTTAAATCCTGCCTACATCCTGCTTTAGTATCTCTTGTCCTCCTACAGTCTCCTTTGCACCATTCACATCAATCTGAGAGTCCTTTCCGGCCATACCTGCGAGGATAGCCCCCTCATGCCGCTCAACATTTTCCCCACACATTCTCCCGCCTGCTATCTCTGACTTCCCTTCCACCCACATCCCCCACCCACCTCTTCCTCCCTCCCCCCCCCCCCCCCCTTCCAACACCAACACCTCCCCCCACCCCCCTCCCCCTCCCCTTCCCCCCTGTCTTTCTCCCCCTCTTCCTCCCTCCCTCTCTCCCTTCCACCTCCCTTTTTTCTAAGTGTTCCATTTACCCCAACCCTCCCCTTAATGGTTGCTTGTCTATGTGTTGAGAAATTTCTTAATTCTTCTCTCCTTATACTTGTGTGCTTGTGTGCAGAGCTAAAGCCCCTGAACGCCAAGTGAACAGATTCCTGTGCTTAGATCTAGGTGGCATCATTCCAGTTAGCAACTTTGTGTTTTTGTTATCTTTTCTAACTGTGATATCCATCTGATGCCTGGTGCTCGACTGTCCCTTGGGATAGTTCGTTGTCATTATTGTTGAACACAAAACCTGTGAGTCCCATACAGTACAGATGAATGAACGGTATACACTCGCCATTGCATTGCTTTCGGTATCGTACGGTACTTGAGCTGAATCCCGAGTGGACCTCTGCCTGGCACCAATATGCAGGTTAGATTAAAGCCCGCGGCCCAAATTGCGGACCGCGCGGGTCAATCTGGGACTTTCGGATCCTGACCCACCCACCAGAGGGAAAAGCAAGGGGCTTGCTGGGTTTGGCATAAAGAACGAGTTTTGAAGAATTTTGAAACACTCAAAATTCAAACCAGCGAACTCCCTCTCGTCAATCTTTTAAATCTTGGGCTTCCGGCTCTAAGATTGGCCCAGCTTTTTTTTTTCCTCCACACAAAGAAAACCATGACTCACAAGCAGCCCTTATTGCAAGTAATCCTTAGCAGGTAAGGATCATGTGCTGGTGGCACTGATATTGTCCTTACTGGTTGAAATAATACTTAAGAATATGTATTCATATGAAGGCATGTGAGTAAGGGCTTGCTACTATTTTTTGACCTACCTTGTTGTACTGCAACCCTGAACCAACAAATGACATTACAGTGCAGCGTACGACCCGTTTAGAATAAGCGTTTGATACAGTATCCGGATTAAGCATTCAAGCGAAGAACAACAGAAAGAGGGCACGCAGATCGCTGTTCACGTGGCTCGTTGATGAGAGGATGTGCTGCGCTGGCCAGCCATAATTGGTGTGAACTTGCAAGGGACGGATGAGAACCTTCGTTAGTGGTGCCGACGCGGAACCGCAATTGGTGGACTTACTTCCCGCCTCTCTTCGGCTTCTGACCGTCCAATCGAACGGTTTAAACGTATATCTTCGCCAAGCTGGACGACTGACGCCTCGCTTTGCGTTCTTTTCCCGCCTACATGTCAAGATCTCATTGCTTTTGACAAGGCACGGCTTGGGGGTGGGTCCACGTCACGTTTGAACTACCGCTTGACCACGTCCCCCCCAAGTTGAACCGCACTGCACCTCTGCATGCGGACTTGGCGG